TTCAATTCCCATCGAGATCTCTAAAAACAAATCACAAAATCTAGTTAGCGCTGGTCCCATTTGCAGGCCAACATGATAATAAAAGAATAAAAGAAAAATAAATGAAGGAAAGCAAGGGTCAGGTGTTCCCTAAAGTCCTAAATCCAGAGCCCCAGAAAAGAATGATTCCAATATGCAAATTCCACGCATGGCAGCTGCCAATAAGACTAAGGTTCATGTCTCAGGGGAGGGTTTGCTTTTTCCAAGTATACAAAGTTCCATGAAGCAAATAGACGACAAACCAAGAGGCATGATGAAACTTGACTTTGTTTGCCTACTAGTACCCTGTCATTTGCCGACCATGCTTAAGCTTTTTATATAAGAGATGGCCTCCTCTAACTTTGCGCATCTGCATGTTTTGTCTTCACCTTCCCAAGATGACTAAATGTTTGCCCTAATGCCACCTCCGAATGAGTACAACCACCCCGTCTTGTTTTCCATTTTGGGTCTCACGTGGGTCCTTTTTATTACTTTGGTGTCTCTCCTTGGAACTCCGTGCCTTTTGAATTTTCAGCCTTTTGGTTCGTTAATTTACCTTGTGTCTAAAGTAGTAGTAAAATGTATGTAATTAAAGTGATTTGAGTACTATACTTCTTTTCATTCGGTTATAACCGAAAATAACTTTTCAATCGTACAAGAAAGTTAACTTGAGTAAACTTAACTTAAGGAATGAGATTTTTATCAGGTTATAAAGTCAAATGTTGGATCTTATTTTTCAAATTCAACTGTTGAGATTTTGAAAAATATTTAGGGATTTAATTAATTCTAGATAATCAACCTTTTAGGAAATTCAATATGAAATTGTTTGAAGATTACTGTTACAAGTTTAATGGGAAAACTTAAGTTGCATTTGGTGTATTGTTAGAAATGTGATTGTTAGATATATGATTACTAGAAATACGATTGCTGGGAATATAACTTTACAATATTTGATATAATAAGCGAAATTGATGATTACAAAGAATGCGATTGTTAAGAGAATTATATTGTAGTGTTTAGTTTGTAAGTATTTTACTGGTAATATAATATAAATTGATAAAATTACCCTTATATATAAAAAAACATATAAGTTGAATAAATTTATAATTTTTAATATAAAATTTGACTTTTTAACTTTAAGTAATTAAAATAATAAATAACAACATTTAAAAAATAACGTAATATTTTTATATTAATTATTTAAATATTAAAATATGTAAAATTACTTAATATTTATTTTCACCCTAAACTTATAAAAATAAAAAATAAAAAATATTATTCAAAGACCAATAAATAAAAATTCTATCGATAGATCATATTATCTACAGATCGATAAATAGCGACTATTAAAAATTTAAACATAATCTAGATGTTCTCATTCATTATATTCAATTTTAAGCTTCTTGACACTTTCTTTCTCTCATAATTGAGATACCAAACATCTTTCCCTCTCAAATCTTCTCAATTTCTTAAATATTTATTTTTAATAAATTAGTTAAATTTTAAATAATTAAATTATTTTATAAAAATATTAATTAATTAGTTAAATTGTCACCCAATCCATCACTTTCTTTTTTTGTATTCTTTCTTTCATTTTTTCCTCTCGTTTCTTCGTGCACCCATCATCCTTCCAATAGGCTTTTCTTTTTACTTTCATTTTTCTCTCCTTCCTTGTTGCTCTATGGTGATGGATTGTTCTTCTTCCTTCCTCGTTGCTATTTGTTGATGGACTGTTCTTCTTTTCTTTGCTTTTCTTTTTTTCCCCTTCTTCCTGGCTCCCATCATCATATTCAAAGAGTTCAACTATTAGGGCTTGCTGATGAGCGGCTAGGGTTCTACAATTGGCAACAAGAAAAAGAAGGAGAAGAAGAAGAGTAAATAGAAGAAGATCAAGTAGACAATTTGGGGAAAAAAATATAACTTTCTTTTTGAAAAAGGAAAGTTACTTTCTCTCTGTGGGAGAAAAAAATGACATCGTCTTCTCTTCCTGTAATACAATAGAATCACCTTATCAATCACTTTCCTTAAACCAAACATCGTAAAGTAATTTTACTTTATTAAATTACAGAGAATCTTTCTCACTTGCACTAAACCAAATGTACCTTTAGTGTCAAATTGTTGGAAAATATAAAGTGTAATACTTAAAAAAAACTCATGAATTACTTAAAAGATTTTAAATAATTTTTTTATTTTTTTATTATACTTAATTAAGTTTTTATAATTTTATTTTAAACTAAAAAAACTTTTATAATTAACAATTGATTAATTATCATGGTCCAAATGTCATAAATTATTTTATATTACGTGATGTTGATATAATATATTAACATATCATAATAGATAATGATGTAATATAATGATATGATTACATGACATTTTCACTTCTCACATTGACATTATGTGAATGTCACGTAACATTGAAATAACAAATAACATTTTGATTAATTATAATTAATAATTTGTTAATTACAAAACTTTATTGCACTCAAAATTAAAAAATAATTAAATAGTTTAAAAGAATAATAAGTTATTTTAAGAATTTTTCTAAAACATTATGTCAAAATATAAACAAAATCATCAGAACAGCGCATGAGCGAAGTTGCAAGAGCACCTTTTTTCCCTAGCAACAATTCAAGCTGTTGTTAGCATTCCCAATTACCCATTTTACAGTGTCCGATGATGTAACTATCTAAGATCTGTGCCTTTGATAGTTGACTTACTAAGGTAAACACATTTTCCATATTTCAAGTCTCTAATTTTCTAATTTTCAAGTCTCCAGGCATAGTTCCGCTTAATTTTATCAATGTTTGAAGAAGAATTATACATCATATATAGTTCAATAATAGACTAGAGATCAATTATTGACCAAGACTTTTTCACCAAAAAGATTTAAGAGGAAAAGATAAATTCAGCAAGACATGATATTCCATCGGGTATGACTAATTGTAACACATCCAAAAATAAATAAATAAATAAATAACTCCTAGAATGATTTGACCTACTTAAACCAGAAGTCTTTGTCAATTGCTTGCTAAACGTCCAAAACACTCAATAAGACCTAAAGCAAATTACCATCCTTGGGATCGACCCAACAAGCCAGGGACTGGGGACTTTGAATGAAGACGTTTAATTCTGAGTCATAATAAGGCTTGTTGCCCTTTTTGCAAAACAAAAATATTAATTATGCCTGATACAAGTTAACTTGAAATCATTCACTTACCAATTATGATGACTGCCCATCTTAAAACTAATTGAATATAAGCATTCATAAACAAATTCACATGCTAGCTGTATAAGTTATCATAGGATAAAAGAGAAATTAAGATCTTATATATAAAAAAAAAAAAATAGCCAAAAGGGAAAACTTATAAGGTAAAATTCCACCTTTGGTTTTTAAATTTATTTAAGATTTCTATTTTAATCATTGAATTTTTAATTTGTATCAATTAAATTGACTAATTTGTTTACCTTTACATAACCATGTTGATTTTGTATTTATTTTGCTAATTTTTTGTAATAAACCAAGAATCACAAAAGCATGAACTATATATATATATATATATATCTTCTATGGAAATTTGCATCACTCAAAGAAATATTCAATTTGGATATTATATCATAATATTGTGGCAATAATTAATATAACAATGCGAGTTCAAGGGTCGCCGTGCTGGGCTTATAACAACACTAATGTTAATTAGATCTATCTATCCATGAATCAGCCCCGCCCTGGTTCGGGCCTTAAATCTTGCCCAAATCTAGCCCTAACAGATAAAGCGTCACCATTATGGCCCAAACTAATGCAATAAATTGACTGAAAAAATTATAATCTTCTCTTTTCCAAGAATAATAACAATGAATATTTTATCAAATTAAAAAAACCCTCTCCTTTTGCTGCTATAATCTTAGACTAATAAACAAAGCTACTAGTTTAACACATAAAATAACATAAACCAACCCATGCATTAATACTCTTCACACTTGAAAATGGGAAGAATCCTGAATTGTTAATTGATGAGAAGCAAAATGAGGACATAAAAATTGTGAGAGATATCTAGACGAAGGAGGGGTTCTTACCAAATATGTAGGTATATTCAAATCAAGAATAGAATATTTTGAAGTGAATTTTTTTTATTTTATTAATACTTTAAAAAAATTAAAATTAAAATATTTTCTTATTTATTATTTATTTTATTAGCACATCAAGTAAGTTTAGGTCTAATTGACTATTATAAATAGTCTCTATATGCTTTTTTTATTTTCATCAAACAATCAAATAAATTAACTATCAAACACCTTAGTTTTTTTACTTAGATCTTTGATATTTTCTACAAAAGTAAAGAAACAAGAATGAATATTTGGTTGTTGGAGTTGATTTACATAACACAAAAATGGTGTGATTTAATCTCTTGATCCTTGAAGAGCACTAATGTGAAACAAGGAATTAAGGGTGAAAGCTATATGAAATTCTATTTAGGCACTGTTGATAATTTTTTAACATTATTGATTAACACGATATGAGTACAATATAAAATTAAAATATATTTTAATTTAAAATTATTAATATATTATTTGTTTTAAACCGATTAAACTCATTTAAGTCACGCATAATACTTTTAATTAATCTGTCATCGTATCAATTCATATAATATGATTTATTTTAACGGTTTATATGATTTATAATATCATAAAAATAAATTAATTATGTTTAAATGAATTTATCATGTCTTATAAAATTTTAAATTTGATTTATTTAATAAATCATATGAACCTTGTCTGACACGCGTGGTTAATGTATTTATGTATTTGTTTAAAACTTTGAGCCAATTAATTAAAAGTTTAATTAATGTTAAGAAAAAGGAAAACCAAAATGGCGGGCAAAAAGAGGAAAACCAAATAAACGGTTGCGTTTCAGCCGTAACTAACGGCGTCGTTTACCTCCGTCTTTTTGAATAAGAAGTTTGCTTGCTGCAGCACGGATCGTCATCATGCTACCAGAAGTCAAAATTGAAGAAAGAAGAGACTCAAGAGAGTGTATGAAAATTCCTGAAATGGATCTTCATCACTGGCACAAAATTGCTGCTGTTTCTGGTTTCAACTTCTTCCTCTAATTTTTTCAATCCTTTGTTTTTATAATGTTCTATATTTATTTATGTGTTTTTCTTTTTCTTTTAATTAAAAAACAGGTATAGCAGCTCTTGGATTGGGCACATATGGATTCCATATGTTCAAACCTGAAAACCCCATTTTCAAAGAGGTCAGTTTTAGATTACCCACTCCATTTTTTCACTCAAAATTTTCACTTTTGAATCTTTTTGTTTGGTTTTTTTCTTATTATTGGGTGCAAAATAATTGAATAATAAAAGCAGGTATGGCAAACTGCTTCTCTTTACCACTTGGTTCACACAGCTGCTCTTCTTGCTGCCCCTGTTACCAAACGCCCCCATATTGTTAGTTCCTTTTTTACCTTTTTATTTATTTATTTATTTATTTTTTCTCATTGGTTTTCCTTGCATTGTTCGGTTAGCATTGGTTTAAGAGCTCTTGTATGTTATGTTCCAGTTTGGAGGCCTTTTGACTGCTGGCATTCTTGCTTTCTCTGGATCGTAAGCACCCTTCTCTTTGATGTTTATTGCATTTGTAGTTTTCGTTTGATAAATGCTTCATTTGAAAACAAAACATTGGTGAATTGAAGTTACTGGAATTTCCATTTATGTTTGTGAAGATTACATATATTGGGTTATTTTTGGACTTTTGCCTTAACACTTAGGACTCTAATCTCATCGTTCTCTTAGAAAGTAATGCTTTTATATAGGTGGGAGTTCTGCTTATATTTTCTTTTCCTTTCACAGTTTCCATCTTGCTTGCCATACAGAAGTTAGTGATGGTTTTGCATGTACCGGAGTTTATGTTTCATAGTCTGACAAGTGATGATAAAGTAGTAAGCGATGGAGGTGCTCATTATAAAATTGAGGAGAAACTAGTAGGAACTCAACATTTCACAACAAAGGCTTTTATAGCACCTTTTACAGTTTTGCAAATTTGAACTTTGGCAGCATAAAAAGACTTGTGGTAGACTGTTGCAAAATACATTTTGCAGCAAAAGAGTGCACAATTTGTTGCAAATACCCTTTGCATTATAACTATTTGCAGCAATTTACATCTTGTTGCCAAAAAAAGAGACTTTTTTGGCACTATGAAAGGTCTGATGCTGCATTAAGTTGTTGTGAACTGCATTTCGCAATAAGAATGTATAAATTTGCTGCAAATAAACTTTGCATCACAATCATTTGCAGCACCCTTACAACATTATATAAAAATTTTTGTTGCTAAATGTCAGATTCCTTGAAGTGTCAGTATGTGTTTATCTTGTAACATGAAATAGTTCATGGGTCTAAGGATGTCATCCATTAGTAATGCATTGAATAAGCATAGCATCTTGTTAATGATATTTATAGATTATAACACCACTCATTCAATTGCAGGAGTTCTCTGTATCTTTTGTTTAAATAATCAAAGCCCTAGTGATTTGATATACAAATAGAAACTTTGAACAGTTACATGGCAAACAGGTATTACGCATCAGTATGAATAAAAGTAATCAGTTGCACACACTTATATTTTGTCTTCTGTCCAAGTTGCATCTACCCTGTAAGATTGTTCCAGTGACAGGCTACAGTTCTATCGTGCATGGTTGTGTGACTCAAATACCTATAGAAGGAAAGCACTGAACTTGACACCAGCATCCCTCCTAATTTCTAGTGCTATATTTTCCCCTCCAAACTGTATTTGGAATGTTGGGTAAATTTATTTGATACTAGAATCAGCTTATTTCCACAAAGGGGTTTTCTTCTTGCATGCAAAATATCATTACAAGCAACTAGGACCCATTTACTTGATAGCTACTTTGAAGACTTTTTGCATGGAAAAAGAAAAATCCCTGTTTTGGGAATAGGCTGGACCTTGATACTATAATGTAAATAAAGATGTTGGAATTGAATGCTATTCAATATCTTCTGATCCTTTTCATTTCAAGTGCATAATTTTGGATAATGTTGCATTTGCTGTCTCTGAGTGTCATTTACAAACTGCTTCTCCATTCTGTGCTTTTCAATGAAACCCACTTTCAAATGTGTTTATACCACCCTTGAATTCATTCAGATGCAGAATTTGTATTTAACAATGGTGAAAATGTAATTAAGTTGTTATGGACTGCATAGGTGTTACACTGCAGCATATCTCGAGGATAGAAACTATGCTGCCCTAGCTCCATTGGGCGGCTTTGCTTTTGTTGCTGGTTGGGCGAGTTTATTATTCTGAGGATTGGAATTATCTTAAAAAAGACTTATGCTGTCGCATGAAGAAGTTCCCTACTTGAGGCATATATGCTTTGGGATTGAACAGCAGCTTGGTAATACCTTGCGATGCTACTTGTCGTTTTGTCTTGCCATTTGTTTATAATGTAACCTCTGTATAGGCACTTGCTTGTTATTGTCTCATCAGATGCCCTGTGGATGGATTTAAGAACTATACTGTTACATAATTCTCACTCCTTTTGGAAGGGAATTAAAGCAAAGAAATTATCAGTATTGCCTCGTACATTTCCTTTTTCTGGCATGATCATCCTCACTCTATATGGTATAAACATGTTTTTAATTATTAATTTATGATCATAGGACAAAATTTGGTTGTTGATATATAAGAAATTATGCATTATCTGTTGCAGTTGGACCCTCGGCAAATGAGTAACTTTTGTTTCTCTTGAAACAAAAAACATTAATCCAACAAATTGAAAGAGGAAAAATAGGGAACCAGTTTGCAAGATGGTCAATAGTTTTCAATTATCACAAAATCTATCACAATGGCTGAAAACAATTTCTAACACAGTATTGAAAGCCTTCGGCTTGTAGACAACAAATGGTAAATCTCAACGCATGAATGCAGGGGTAGAAGTAGAACGAGGAACAGACTTGATCGAGGAAGGGATCAACATCTGATTTTATTACATGAATTGATTTGCCTCTGGATCAGGGAATGAACTCATATTGACAAGAATTATAACCTGCAGGTAAATGCATGGAAGAAAGGTTATTACCAAGGGGCAAAAGAAGCTGAAAAATCAATAAGAAAAGGAAAATTAGTCATTAAAGCATAAAGAAGTTTGATCATAGACAAAAGAGGGAGTCAAGTAGTGAGCTGTTATTCACTTTTGCTCTTATGTCTTATCTTCTTTTTGCCTTTTGCGTCAGCAAATCCATTGATTTAGCATCGTTGAGATGCAAGTTGCTCCGTAATGTTCTCTAAACAAGTAAACTAACGGCAATCTCACATGACTTGCACTTTCCAGGCACATGGGATTTGCTCATTTTCTATATGTTTAATCAATACGATGATTTTTTAACTATATATTGCAGAAGTTTTCATGCGAAATGGTAATTAAAAGAAGTATCTTTGTTTAATGCTTACTGGGATCAAGTTCTGTAATCATGGCAGCTCCTTTGAAGTAGCAAGATCCGCCTTTGTGCTTGTACTTTTGGAAGTAATCGTTGAATGCGTAGGAAGCATGGTTTCTCATAGTGTTAGGAAAATAACAGGGCTGGTTCACCTGAATCTTACTGCAATCTGCACCACCTTTCCCGCAAGCCCAATCCAGGGCTGCATGCAACTCATCATCTGGGGTCTGTTCATCAGCTATGCACCATTGCTCAAACTCCCCTACTGGTATAACAAGAACAGGAAACAGCATTTTAGAAAATGCAGCATACAAGATTGCTTTATCTTGTCTCAATGCATCAGATAACATTTCTGGCTTAGGAGTTTTCTGAACTAGGACTAACTACTTAAATATGTGACTCTCTGTGTGTTTGACAATGTACCCTGGTTTTCTCATGCTAGGATTAAACAGATGTACATGTGGCATAGAAGGTTAGAGCAGAATAAACATGACAGTTTGTTCATTTGGAGTTTGAAAAACAGAACTTTAGATCCTAAGCAAAAATCATACCTGATTTTTGAGGGATCATTGCCATCAACAGCAGAAGAAGCGTTATCCTCATCAACCAGAGTGACATTTTTTCTGAGAGGGATAGGGCGAGGTACTCAATCTGGAAACTCGGAAAATGATCTATCCACTGAGAAATCTCATGGCCGCAAGCGGTCAATATCCCCTATATAGTGTGAAAGGCAGAAACATACTAAAAATGTTGTGGTCTTTTAGGTTTGTCCCTTTGCAAAAAGACGTAGCAGGAGCCATGTGAACTCACGTATGGGCTTCATGTTGGCTCTTCTTCTAACTCTATGACAAACTAGAAACAAAGGTATTCCCCGCAACACAAGCAAAGCTCAGTGTGGATGTGTACTGAAGGCATTCAATTTTTACTGTGGGGTTCTGCTCAAATACTAAATATTTGAAGCAGTGTTCCTAGGATGCAAAAGATGAAAAATAAATAAGTAAATAAAAGAGGAAATGAAGGATCTTTGAGGAACAAGAAGGGCACTTTGAGCAACAAAGTTAGATTTATACATCATGGATGCAGAATCTCCAATTTCACCATCCACAACTAAGTACAATGTGATGGCTCAGAAGGCTTTCATGTGACCAGCTCATAACCATATCCACAAAAGCTTGGCAACATCATCAGATAAAAAGGAGAGAACAAGTTTACCAACGCTAATCCAATCAAGCAATTGAATACTTACAACCACCGCAAAATTACATGCTACAATTAGGTTACACCGATTGTACCAAGAAGAGGAAAAGAATACTAATGGACAATGGAAAGTCATGGTTACAACAAGGGGACCTCTTCATAGCAAACAACCGAAGCATTCAAGACTCAAGAGGAACACAATCTTTCAGCAAAGATAGCCATATGTGTTGCCAGCTTTAATTTCTCTGATGGGGGAGTTTGCTATTTGCTCAAGCCTCACTGAATATCCAACCAGCAACATTCTTGTTATTTGCTATATCGCCCTTTTAAGTCCATTTGAATGTAAAAGGGTAACATACTAACATCTCAAAATGCCCATATAAGAGTCGAATAGGATGAATACTTCATACCTCGATCCTTTTACCTTGTGCAGATTGTCCAACACAAAAAGATGACAGGATGGATTAAATTGAATCACTAATTTTACAAGAGCTTGAAACATGGAAACTCTACATAAAATTTTATTGTCTGGCTTACAACATATAAAATATGGGGGCGAAAAAAGAATGGAGGCCACTTAATTACAATTAAATAAAAATTGGTTGGTATGTACAGGAAACGCCACCACTTTTTTCCTTGTCCTTGGCAAGTGATCATATATTAAGCCAAGTGGATGAGTACCAAGGGGTCAGAAGAATTTGATTACTCTTCCCTGGTATTCAACACACTTGATAGCAAAACCATGGATGCAAGCTCAGCATTCCTGAAGATAAAACCCACATCAACATAATCAAATATTCTGAATTCCTGATTTCGTATGTGATATGTACATGAAGAAGCAAGTTTTTATCACTTTCAAGAGACAAAACGTGCAAAAAAATGAAAACCCACAACAAGAAACATAAAAGTTGCAGTTTACAGATTAAAGATGTGAAATAGGTTTGCTAAAATGAATACTTTGAAACGAGATTTGTGCAGAAATATTAAACCAAAAAGAAAAGGAAAAATAGAGCACAAAGGAAAGCATGTTCCCTGAAGCTAAAAAAACACAATATAAAAAGATTGTGGAGAAATTGAAAAAGGAGAGGAAGTCTTGTCTAAGTACAGGAGTGAAGCAATATACATGAAGCACACATGAAATATTAGGTTACTACACATTCAATTTAGAACAGAAAGATAAGAGTGATGCTGAAATTACCATATTTTAGACGACCACTGGCATGGAGCAAGACATAGGTCAAGTGCAGCCTCGTGGCAGTTATGGCTTGTGACTTGTCAGACAACCAAATGACAAAGGGGTCAACCTGGACAAAGGAAGTTCAACGACCTCCAACTCTGTCAACCAGACTCAAAAAAACTTGCAACAGCTGAATAAAGTTGCTCTTCCTCAAAAGGCTTTGACACATAGCCATCCATCCCACATTTCATGCACTCTTCATTTGTAGTTTGGATGACATCAGCTGTCATTGCTAAAATTGGAATGTGCCATTGATGCACATTTCCATACATCTCAATGGATGCTTCTCCAGAAACAATTTCTTCATTGACCTCACTCTCCACACAGCGGATTTGCCTAGTTGCTTCAAACCTGTATAATATTTGGAGTGTTAGGATTGTTAAGTACTCTAATAGAAGGAAAACTGAACAGGAAACTGGTCATAAGATATTATCAGCAGTTAAGAGCATTCATGGCATATAGATCTCTTCCCATTTAGAACATATCTCAGAGATGCACCCACAGGTAACAAGTTACAACAAAAATAAATTACAGTTCACCAAATACCTTATTGGACTAAGAATCTATCAAACAAATCAGCTTGTTTTACCCCCATCATATCAAAACCCACATAACTGGTTTTGGATGAAGTTAATAATTATATTGCCTCATATAATGCATGAACTTAGTAAATGCATCATAACAGCTGTTGCTTAACATAAAGGCCTCTTTTGGCATAGTTTCAAGTGTATGCTGATATGAAGCAAGCATAAAACTTGGCAGAGCAAAGTTAAACGGTAGTTAGATTGATTACCCATCCATTTCAGGCATCTGGAGATCCATGAAGCAAGCATCAAAATTATGGGGTGGCTTAAGCTTGTGCAGCGCATCCTGGCCTCTTTCCACACAGGAAACAATTGCTCCATACTTCTTTAAAGCACCTTCTGCCACTCTTCTATTAACCTTATTGTCATCAACCACTAAAATCCGCTTTTCTCGTAGCAAGCTCCCAAGAGTAGACATTTTCTTTCTATGTACTTGTTCCTTTCTACCATTTCCAAGGGCTTCTTGGAAACAGGCAATCAAGACACTCAACCGAAGTGGCTTCATCAGCACATTATCTACAAAACCAGCAGTCTTAAGCTTGGAGCGCTCAATGGGGCTCATGGAGGTCGCCAAGAGAAAAATTTTTGGAAGGTTTGTCAAAACATCTAGTCTGTCATTTTGCCTATGATCTTTGAGCAAAGATCGTAGCCGAAGAACTGTTTCCTGATGCCAAACATCTTTGTCAATAAGAATCATGGCCAAATGTGCAAATGCACTGCAGAAGAAACAAAGGAAAATGCATCAGCGAAACCAAGAAAAATTTAATGGTTTGGCATTAACATTTAATTCAAATATCTAAAACTAAGTGTCTTCAAATTCTTGTTTTTATAAGTCAGCAAGCTTATTATTGTCAATATTATACTTAAAAATATTGAAGCAGGTGAAAAAGGATATAACACACACACACACACACACACACACATACATTACCCCAAAAACTGTTGCATTAAAGGTAACTCTCAAAAACGGCAGCGTAAAGTATATATTAAAGTATAGTGTGTGCATCTGTGTGCATTAAATTATCTTTATATGAACAGGTAACTCTCAGAAACTGCTTCATTAAAAGACCTCAAAACTCCACACAGCTAATTAAAGTGCACATGTTGGTTTTCTAGTTTATATCAGCTGTTCAGATTCAGAACAATACCTAGAGTATTTACCGTGATGCAAGTTAGTTAGAGCAAACTATTGCAATATTGATCTATCTTTCCCTAAGGTCCTTTGTGCAGTGATTAATATTGTAAACAATTCAAATGAAAGCTTTCTAATCTGGAAATATGTTTGTGTAGTATATCAAAAGCCTTCAATCTTCTAAGTACCACCATAACTATTCTATCTACCTTGTGCCACAAGTGCTTGACAGATAGGTGTATGCTAACTCCATACTGGAAGTTATATCCACAGATATTCCCAATCTCCGAAGATGATATCTTGTGACCTCAGCTCGGATGCTTCTATTATCAATAATCAGTGCTCCCATACCTTGGAACTCCGAAATCACTGGATCATATTGCTTCCACTTTGAATCCAGAGAACTCGCTTCACCTTTTCCAAAAGCTCCAGTAAATGAGAAAGTACTGCCAGTGCCAGGTTCACTCACAAACCCGATCTCCCCATGCATGAGTTGTACAAGACGTTTGCTGATGCTCAATCCTATTCCAGTTCCACCATAATGTCGTGAAGTGGAACTGTCGGCTTGCACAAAAGGAGTGAAAATTCGATCCTGTGCATCTAAACGAATTCCCACACCTGTGTCCTCAACTGTTACTAGTAATTTAATCTTTTCAGGATCCTCCATTGAGTCTTTGCCATTTAGTATTGTAAAGTTCTCCCAGCTTCTCCATCTGTCCACCACTGGAAACCCACTTAACGTATTATATGTTTTGCTCGACATGTCCTGAACTAAGTTCAAGCCTTGTTGCAGCACCTTGTCTCCCACTTCAAAAGCACCCTTCACTTCATCTACCAGATGCACTGAGACAAAAATATGTCCCTTATCCTGTGTGAACTGCAATTTTAAGGAGCAATAAATTAGGGGAACACACTCAAGCAACTCATCGCATGATTACAAAGATCTGAAACTGGAAATAACAGATGAACCTAAATATTCATCTGATTTCCTGGATTTCTAGTGCAAGTTAAACATGAGAGAACCATGGAATGGTGAATTCTGTGCATTCATGAGTTGAAAACCTTGGCTACATTAAGTTAACATATCACTGCATTCATTTTTAAAATTATTTTAAGCGGTATATATTAACAATCAAAATTGTGTTCTTATCTCGTTTGCAAAGAATATTCTACTTTAAGGCATGTGTTGTCCTGGGAAAGTCCACCCCTACCGCTATCAACTAATTAAGTCATCAAAACAGGGTCAGAGCCAAACTGAACTTAATAGGATTTAGGACCTGACAAAAACGACGAGGTGATAGCGTCCCTCAATTATCCGCAAGAAAAATGCATCCAGTTCAAGTACTTATGATTTTCCTAGTCTTTTGGCAATTAAAGTTTTAATTATATGATCAAATTGAAAGGGAAAAAACATGAAAATTCAAACATAACAAACCTTAATTGAATTTCCAACAAGATTTGTAATTATTTGCCGAAACCGTCCAGGATCACCAACAACAACTTCAGGAACCCGATCGGATACATAAACAGCCAACTTCTCATGTTCGAAGAACACAAACAAACAAGATTATCCAAGGAAATCAAGAAAAGCAGAAAAACAAAGAGAAATCAGATGAATTTTAAAATATATATATATATAGTAGAGGAATATCTTGATTTTACCTCAATCCCTTTATAATTAGATTTGTCTGAGGATAGTGAGAGGATGTTATCAAGAAGAGAGCGTAGATCAAAGGGCACGTCCTCAAGTTCAAGCCTGCCTGATTCTATCTTAGCCTGATCAAGGACCTCATTTATCAGTGAGATAAGATCTTTCCCACTAGCATGAGCAGTCTCAGCATAGTCCCTTTGGATCGCATCAAGCTCTGTATCCATCAGCATTTTCAGCATACCTATGAAAAGAAACATATGTACTATGTTAGTTTTGCTGGGATAGAGAATTATATTTATACAAATGAAAGGCTTTCTAATCACCTAAAACACCATTCATCGGAGTCCTGATCTCATGGGAAACAGTTGCTAGAAACTACAAAAGGGAAAACCGTTAAGTTAGAAAACACTGCAGAATTATTCCTTTATAGCCATATTTCTAGGAGTAACTTTTACATGCAGAATGGAAAATCACTAGAGAAATAAATTTTCATATAATTAAGCCAAATTTCTAGAAAGGAGAGACACTTGTTAGCTAGTGGTAGCAAATGCACCTGAGATTTGGCCACATCTGCAGCTTCAGCACGAGCTTTGAGCTCCATCATCTCACGGTAGTCATTCTCTACTTTTGCAATTCGACATATAGCTGCATGGAAGATATGACCGACAAGCAAAGTAATAACTAGGACTCCTACTGATGCATTGATTGCTGTCCAAGGTAACGGGGGTTTTTGCTTGAACCTACAAGAGAAAAACACTTGAGAAAATATACCATCCTACACCTTTTTGCCAATATTTTCTTTTCAATTTTTGGGAAAAGTAACCTGCAGTGCATCTCATGCTTCCTTAATGGATCTCCAAAATCAAGGCTACTGACATGCAGTAGGCCAGTATCAGTTACATCAGTACCGTACATGCTGATGGCAGCAGATGCATTGGTTGTGTCATAAACATTGACAACAATGGTTTGCTTGCTGGCAAGTTGGTGCAGAAGCTTCTCCACCAGAGAGGGGACATCATAAGACGCACCCAGGTACCTGTAATTGAGATTCACCATTGAAAATTTGTCTTAAAAAATAAAAATAAGCTACTTCATAACAATAAAATACTTATCCAAAATTATTGTTTAGAAAATCATGATAATTGAAGGGACAATTACCCCACAGTAGCTTCAGTTCGTTGCCTTGGTGTAGCACCTGGAGGCAAATCCTTGTTATAAACAGCGAATGTGAGAACAACACCAAGGTGATTGGATTTTAACAGCTTAAAAGGAGATGTCAATACTCCCTTTCCAGTTGCCCTTGCCCTCAGGATGTTCTCACGGTCTTCCTGTATAACAGTAGAACGAGCAAATTAACTTAGCATTATTGGCTAAATGAAGAAGAGAGAGAATGAAGTAGACACACTTCCAAGGAGTGTTCTTTTATGTGTAAAAACCTTCAGCAAATGGTATTCAACATTACAACTAGGCAAGTGAGCATGTATTCCTACTAGTGGGTACCAACTAAAATAGTAGGCCTAGAATTTTAACAGGATAAAAGGGATTTGTTGATTATTAAACCTTATATCTGGTCTCTGGGAAAAATTGAATTGGGTACTATGATTATAAACACCGTACCCCTATCAATTTCATCCTCCCTCCTATTACTTGTGTTTCTGAGCTTGTTGATCCCTTTGCCTATTACATTCATGTTTTTGTGTTGAGATTGAACACAACGTTGTTATGTGGATAATGTGGATCACAGAATTGTTGCTACTGTGCATTGCATGGCTAAACAATTTAATTTTAGTAATGTTGTCACGGTATGAACCCATCCTGAATGTTTACTGGATAACTTCAAGAAGTTGCATGCCACAACCATTGAACCATTTTCATCATTCAAAAAACTTGAAATTATAGCAAATTTACCCGATTGCCTACTCTTTAAATGTTAGTACCGCATTCAATGGGGAGGATATGAACCAAGGTACTTTAAAGCCTCCTGCTCTGTTTCATAGCTCTTCTGCAGGAATTTAAGTGATTGCAGAAATGCTGGATGATGAACTTGTTTCTTCCTCCTGAAATGGGATAATTTGCAACACCTCTATTAGGTCATTAAGCTTTACTTATAGGAAGGGTTTTTCTTGAAATTTCCTACTTGTTAAGAACTTGAGTTACATGCGTTCTAACTATCAATACTTTCTATTTTCATTTTCAGTCACACTTTGAATTTGGGATAATTAAATCCTACTCTTTCCTCTCTCTAGTTCCTTTGGTTCTCCTTTTTGTCCCTCTTTCATATCTTCTTCCTCTCCCTACTCGCTTTCTTCTCCCTTGCTGTATCAAGTACTTTTTATACCACCTAGCAGGAATCATTCACAGCATAGCAGAGATGCCCACAGAATCCCATTTTTCTTTCTTCTAAATTTTATGTTGCAAGCTAATTAATAGGTTTCTTTTTCTTTTGACTCTTTCAGAGAAGATTTAAGGTCTTTTATCTTTTCTTTTCCCAGTTTATATTGTTTTGCTCCAGATGTTTTAGCTTCAAAGGTCAAGAATTAATTGCTATTAGGATAACAACAATGGAGAAACTGCATAAGCTTTTTATATTTGCAGTCTTTACAGCTTTGAGTATTATCACAATTCAGGAAGTATTTTGTTTCTTTAAAGCTTGTCATGTGTAACACTTCCTTCTATTTCAGATATTCCTAGAATGACCTAGTGAGGCTAATAGTTAATAGTTATTATTTCACACCCCTTGATTATGGCCCAAAACGAAGAATACAACCAGATCTCAACCCGTAATTTCAAACCTCAGATTTTAGTTACTCCTATCATCTTTTACAGACCATGACTATAGTTCATTTACTCTAAGCCTCCTACATCATCCACATCACATCTAGGAATAGCTCCATGTATTAGCCCTATGTCATTCTGAAGCCCCCAAGATCATGTGAAAGTTGTGGTCAATCAATGTTGAGAGAAATTGAAAGTGGAAGAATGCACTGACAACTAAGAAGACAAAGACAACATGGTTCACTATGAAAGCCACATCGATGAGCTCACACAGACAATCATTGTCTATCTTGCGTATTTCTCATTGTCTTTGGCCCTTTCAGTCCCAGGCAGACCCAAAAGTCCAAGAAATACTTACACTTAATTGATTCCAAGTGCAACGCTTGGGATCATATTTGGCAAATTTATTTACCACAATAAAGTTCACTACGAGATCATTTCTTGAATTTGTCCTTCTCATGGTTCAACTGATTTTTTTCTAAAATTCCAAACTCAAAGGTGTCTCAAAGGCTAAAGGACTTCATTCTTTCTTGTCCATTTTGGGTAGGCACACCACTTATTCTTCCCTATGATTCTCCTCACCTTTGCACAAAATTTAACTGATATCTAGTCAAAAGGTGCCTAACTTTCCTGCCAAAAATTTAAATAAAGCACATGGCACACGTATACCAGCTGCATAAAACAATATTCCAGCAGCATCACTATCAAGTAGTGTAATTCCTAATCCATTAAGCTTTTTATAACAGATTTTGTATGAGTACAACATATAATTTGATTAATCACAAGATTTAATGCACGCTTGCAATCATACAGCTTGATCTCCATTATGAGCTTCGAAAGAAACTAGGTTATATCCAATAGACCAAATTCAAAGTCAGCCAGATAATGTAAAGAGGGCAGTTCTAAGAACAGGAAATGGATGTGTGTGTGTGTGTGTGTGTGTGTGTGTGTGCATGCATCAGCACAAATGCACGCTCACACACACTTAATGCCAGCACATGTGCCCCACACAAACATAGATAGCTCTAGTTGAGTGTAAGATAGTTTTACTCGAAAGTAAGTATTAATAAGAAGTAATGACAAATGCACCCTTAATAATGTGTCAGAATTTCATATAAAAACAGGAAAAAAGATAAAAGGAAGAATTTGACACTTTCTTTATTTTGTTGTTTGGAAGTGCAGAGGTTGTTTATAAAAGGAAATTAGATAGAGATTGCAGCCTAAGGTAAACAAAACATACCTTTCCAGACATCATGTCAATAGAAACAATATGAGACACAGTTTCCTGTGAAAATATCACTGGTGCATATTCATCTTTAATGGGTGCAGGATCCAAATTTTCTGTCAGGCAATCTTGGACTAAAGTCTGGTCCTCAGTTTCCATTTTCTTTATTGTCCATCCATGCTGCTTCTCAAACTGCTCCCTCTCTGAGTGAAGAACTTTCAATGCATAAGCAACACCACTAGTAAGTGGCCTCTCAAAAGCTGTTCTTTCAGTATATTCACCAAATGTTTTCTGCAAAATTTAAATTAGTAGTTCAAGTCAACATACAAGTAGAACTAGATTTGTCCACTTGGTAAGCCACTGACTTTCATATACAATTCAAGCCAATAATTATAGTTCCATAGTGGTTGATTACCATGTCAATCAGTTAATCAAAGCAAAGTGATGTAAGATGTACAGTATAATGGAGACTTGCCATCGTCCATTAGCATGGTCTTATTTATATGAATTAAATTAGACAAGCATTTGATATTCAGGTGCAAGCATATAGAATATGACCTGATCAATAGCAGATGGATGCTTCCCATGGTGAAAAGTGGAAACGAGAATAGCCAACGCATGAACATGATTCATGCTAACATTGAACTGATCCTGCAACATCCGTGCTCTTTCATCACACATGTTGGCAAGTGTCTCTTCTCTCCTTAAAATGATCTTTTGGTTTAAATGCCAAAATAACCAGAAGGATGTAAAGATCCCCACAAATACAAATGTTATTAAGAGTTTCTTTCTCCATTTCCCTGCACCTTTAGGAGGGCTCTGGGTTTGCTGCTGCTTCTGTTGCAGCAGCAGCGGTAGTTGCTGAGCTACAGGCTGCAGCGGAGCTGGCTCATTCTTTCTGTTCCTCCAGAGCTTCAAACGAACTCCAGGAATCTTCCAGCTCAGAATCACTCCAACAAGAAGCAACCAACATCCTTTCACCATACAAAATGACAAGTTCTCACAATTGTCTTTTGATTCGACTCCTAGTGCACTTCTTTGCGAGATGTTCTGCTTAATGACAAACCAACCAAAAAAAAGTTAATTTAATAGCATTACTCATGGATTCATGGATATCTGGATTTGGCATAATCCCAATTATTTAGCACTTTCAACCAGCAATTTCAGTATGTTTATCTATACATAGATGACCCAGGCATTATTAACGAAAAGAGTTTGGAGAGGCAAAAAATAGGCATTGACCATCCTTTTGTTTTTCTTTTGGATAAATGCCATTTTACTTCATGTTCAATTCACATGCATATGCTTGACTCTATGATATGTATGGTCCTGACAGTTAAGCTCACAACTCATACGACAAATTTCAGTATATCAATCATAAAGATAACCAGGATTCAGCAACCAAGGATTGTAAAAATTCATTGTATTCCCTTAATAATGGAATTGTCTTTAACATTTTATGTTGCTTGACTCTACCAGAATAGTTTTAGGAGCACATATAAACCTAACTAAATCAGCATAAATACATCAGCTTCTTTTCAAAAATTTTGTGCCGCCATAATAGCTTCACAAGTCTAAACAACCCCTTTTTTATTTCATACCATTTATTTAATAGCCACGTATTGTCCATTCTTTTTCTTTTTTCTCTTTTCTTTTTTTCTTTTCACCCCAGGGGGAAGGGAAATAAGTTACAAAATTTTACCCATCAGATAGAAGAATTATTGTAGCATTAATTTTGCTTTTGAATTTAAAAGGTTGAATATTTACTGCAGATGCTTTAAAAAATCTGGCCGCTACCTTTCCACCACTGTGATGCTCCCATGATACTAATGGAACTGCAATTTGCGAGACAAATGATAAGGTATCGTGCTCCAGCAATGACAAGTCCTGCTCGCTGGGAATATTCTCAACTTGGACTGGGCATTGATCCTGAAGTTCTGTATTTCTTACAACCAACATCTGCTGCTTTTTGAGGTCTTGGTTCTCTAAACACAGTACCTTAAGAGCACAGGCAATACCATCACTTGATGGCTTTTTAGGTCCTGAATCTCTGGTACATTCGAGGAATTTTATCTGTAATAAGCAGACTAATGAGAGAATGAAAGACAATACATGTAGAAAATCTAAGACATTCATCTTTGCAACCACATTTGTAGTGGGAAAGATGGTGTTCAACTCCGCATGTCATCATTTGAAAAGGGGAAGATAGTGTCAAAAACTCAATTCATGTGGGAACTAAAGCATCATAAGGTCATAACCTTTCTATAAAATTTAATATACATAACACAATAACCTTCCTTTGGCTCTAAATGGCAGGATACAACTATCTTTATGCAGATTCACTTGCCTTGTCACAAAAGAAACTTCAGACACTCCTGATATCAACCACTTACATAGGTTTAAATACTGTTCAATGTTCTCTATGATGTCAGAGGATAAGGTATCTGTAATTTATCAAGTTATAAATCATAAAGCATTTCCTAGCAAGAAAAGATCTAAAGTATGCTTTCTCCAGTGCTTGCTTCCATTATTTCATAATAGGACAGGTTCATACGATTCCACTCTATTAAAACATTCAGATTATGTAATTCTGAAGGACAAAGGAAAGAGACTTAGAAAACATTTCCTTTATAAAGAATTCTTTTTGAAGAATAACATCATAGCAGAGCAAGTGAACAATTCAAAGGGATCTCACCCATCAGGCTTGAATGTAAATGAGTAATGCATGAGTTTAGACCACTCTACATATTTAAATTTTAGGAAGATTGTACTCGTTTTTGGGAATCATTTATTCAACTATACGAGGCCAGGATAACGGGATAAGAAAATAGGTTACCATATCATAATCCCATTTTCAGATTCATGGTTTCCATGCTTTCCAGCACAACTACAATTAAAACTAAGAAAAACCAATTACCATCTTCTACAAAGGAAAAACCCGATAGAACAAAGCCACATTTGTCTTATCCTATTATATTTGCCGAATTCAGCCTTTATAAACCCAAACAAGAACCTTCTAAAAAAAAAGTTTTTGTCAGTATACACTAATTCCAAACTAAAACCCAAACAAATTAAACCAAAACAAGGAAAGTCTAAAGCTATCAAAGATACAAAATTACCTGATCTGATTCGTAGAAGAAAGAAGCTAGAGCATGAAACTGGTTCTTGCTAACATTGAAATGTTGGAGCAAGATTCTTGCCTTCTCCTCACAAGAATCAGGACTTTTCTCATTCTTCTCCGAAGCTACACTATTGAAACTCAAGAAAAACCAAATAATTCCTGTCGAAACAAAGCCTAAAAGCCAGAGAAAGAGAAGGTTTCTCTTCCATTTCCTGAAAGAATTGGGCCCATGCATAGTCTCTTTTGCCTTCTTCAGCCTGAAATTCGCTGATAATCTGCAATTAGAACCAGAAAGCTTGCCGTTCATAGACATCTTGACCAAAGCACACTTACGTATTTCCCCAAGGAGCCTTGAGAGCTTCACAAAATTCCCAGTTCCAGAAGAACAACTCATGAAAATAGAACCTCTAAGGTGACCCCAAGATCAAAATTCCAGAGCAGATTCAAATTTGCCAAAATGAAACCAAGAAAATTCTTCACCTAACCAAGTACACAAGCTCAGCAGAAAACTCATTTCTCAACAAAAACAAGCTCCAATTAGCACCATACCAAGAAAGCAAAGTGGTCCAAACTCCAAACACCTTTGCTTTCTCTCTTTACCATCCACTTTATAGTTCAAATATGAGGAGTTTGTTTTCTCCTTCAACCATCAAAAACCAAGCCTTTCTTCTGAAACAACACAAAAAAGGATTAGCAATCATGCCAAAACAAACAATCTGAACCCAACCCAGTGTTTTTTTGCGCAACCTGTAAGGGAATCATTAAATGAAGTAAGTAAAACAATTGGCTTTTTTCTATGCCTAGCTCTCTCAACCTTGCCTCAAAATCTGTAAGACCAAAAGAAGGTGTCAAGATTGTAACTTTTTTATAAAAAATCTCATCCTGAAACCCAAATTTTGGACTTTAACCCAGTTGGTTTCTAAGATAACCCAACTGGAATCAATCATCAAACTTTGGATAAAAAAGAGATGTGTAACTTCTTCTTTTTCCCTTTTTAACACTCCCACTGGCCCCGCTTTCTCTCTATACCCAGTTTGGTGTCCAGCATTTGAAAATGAGGTTTTGGGGGGTACATGATTATCTCATCATCTAGTGGGGAAGGTTTTAGGCCCCAAAAGCAAACAAACTCCTACATCAGAAGCCACCCTTCCAACAACAACAACAAAAAAAAAAGTATTCTCCTCACCCATTTATTTATTTTTTCATTAATATCACATCAAAGTCTTAAACTTTTTCACCACTTTCATTTTTGTTTTTGTGGGGGATTTCTTTTTTATTTTAATTTCTGAGGGTGTCTTTTGCTTTTTTGTGAGTTGAAAGAGACTCCACCATTCAGCGTTTAAAGATGGGAGGAAGGGTATTTGTTTTCTCTGCTGTTGTGCAGCTCAGGAATACGGATTCAGACACAGTGTCAAAGCGAGAGTCAGAGTCCGACACTGTGGATGGCTAAATTTGGTATTTCACGTCCCCCATAGAAGCCACGCCAGGTACCCCTAGCCTTCCACTCTTCCACTTCAGACTCCAGTTTTGAAACTTTTTGCACTTTATTTACACTTTCTACTATTATCTTTTTGTACATAAATTGTGATCAAAACTTCCGCTAATGATACCAGCATCTATTCTGTGCCCACAAATAAATAAAGGAAAAAAAAAAAAGAACGGAATAAAATGGGAGAAAAAATGGGCAATTGCTGCGGCTGGTGCTAACATGCGCAAGGGGGTTTAATGTGTGCACCATTTATGGGAATATTATTGATGATGTGCATCAAGGAAGATGTTTGTCGGCTATATACCTTACCCACCAGCATTAAACAAATAAGAGAGAAGAAATTATAAAATGACAATGCACTAAAGCAAGGACTAAAATAATCATTTTATATCAATGCTATGATTAGTTTGACCATTATTACACTGATATTTTATGCATTTTGAGTTTTGGACTTTGCTTAACTGATTCACACAGTTCATTTATGGGGTTTAATTCTTTGGATTTAAAGTCAGTCCAAATATTTTATGGCTATTAATCACATTAGGAAATGTGGCACATGCCTTCCTTATGCTTTCCCCCAACAATTAATGTCAAAAATTGTACTAGCTTTCCTTTTTGTAGACTTGCATTTTCTTTAAAAGTTGGTGAAAACATTAGTGCATTTTTCTTCAAACAAGGTTGATTGGTGCAACTGGTTTGAAGTTGGTAGCTGTTCAACTTGAGAGCATATTGGTTGAAGCTATGATCATGCTTTTGTCTTCTATGATCCATCACCAAACCCTTTCTCAATAATTCATGAATAAGAATGCACGTTGAGCAATTCATTACTGGACCATCAAGTCTCCCCCCCCCCCCCCCCCTTTTTTCTTAATTAGGATTAATTTTAAATAGATTAAATCTCAAAATTTAACTGTTGAGATGCATTTTCCTAAAAAAAATTAGTAATTAAGATTTATAATGTTTTAAAAAAAAATACTAAATAGAATAGTAACGTGTGTTAAAGACAAGATATGAGTGGGCGAGAGAGGAAGAAAAGTACAAAAATTGCATGAGCAGCAAAAGAGATTCTAAATTTAACAATCTCTCCCAATGTTTGGTAAAATAAAAATACAGAAAAAGTTGATATTGATGTGGCGTTTTGTGTGGCAAACAAGGAAATTTTGGTTCTATCAATGAATGCCAAAGCCCCTTTGTCATGTATAATGTGAGAATGGGGAGGTGACAACTAGCAGGGGTGAAATGCTAGCAATACTCAATCCATCCCAACAAGAAAGAAAAAGGGGAGAAGTTCTAGTTGTGCCAGTCCTTTTGCCCAAAAGTCATGGGACTCTAATTTTTCTTGACCGTCCAATTCAAGGGTTAACTGGCTGAATGACATTGTTTTGTCAAGAATCTCCTGAACAATAAAATAATGGCTGAAAAGATAGGGCCATGCCTCTATGTTGTAAGCCACTAGGATCTAATGTCATTGAAGGCTATATAAATGTAGTAGCAACTAGCAAAGCAAAGAGCTTTTTTGTTTTTGTTTTTGTTTTTTTTTTTTTTTCACTTCAATTTCTAGCGACGGGGAACTCCCCAAAGTACATGTAACAAGTGCCTCATTGTATGGGCCATCTTAAGCAAACAACATTTAGGTTCAATTATTGCAAAATCCAGTTGGACATTGACCCACCACTTTGTGTATTCTTCCCCCAATGAAGATTTCTTTCTTTCTTTCTTTCTTTCTTTTTTTTTAGGTTTTTGTTTTTGCCCTTTCTTTGATGGATGTTGAAGCTAATTATTTTAACCTACCCATTTTTCACTTTTCATAAACAAAATTATGAGGGATCCAGAAAAAGCATGTCTTGAATTTTATTGTTTTATGATTTTAGTTTTAATCAATTTTAGAAGGAAGTTATCTTGTCTCTTCTCTCATGATTTCTAATCAAGTTGTTAAGGAGCTATTAAATGGAATGAGTATGATTAAGGAGCACTAAGCATTTTGAGGCTTTGATCTGGAATTTAGATAAATATATATATATACACTTAGTTATTATTCTTGCTTTCTTTTGAGGTCATGTACTTACCTTGGCCAATCATTTCTCCTCTAAACCCCATTCACTGTACTACTTCTCAAATCTTTATCATCTTCTTCATACTTATGCCTTCTTACACATGCTTGAGGCAAGGCTTACTTTGTAATCTACTTTCCTCATTTAATCTAGCAATGACACTAAATATACTTCCCCCATATGATTTAGATAAAAGCACAATTTATGGAAAAAGGTGAAAATAACACTGAATCAGTGATTTTACCAAATAATAATAATAACATTTCTAATAAAGGTGTGAAATTCTGATCTCAAAATTACTTTTATAATTTTGTATGGAATTCAAGTAATCATGATATTACCCAAATAAAAAAACAATATCATAATAGATCCATAACTAGTATAAGAAAAAACCCCCCAACCCTTTTGACTCATCTACTCAAATCTAATTAAAATTTCCTCAAATTTTATGATCCAACAAGGTATGAAAAGCAAATCTAACGAGCAGACAGAACACCCAACCCATTTAATTAGAGAAATTATTTAAAAATTGAAGGAAAAACAAAACATGAATGGATTTTCATTTCATATCATGTCTCTACGCCGCACACTACGTTTAAACAACGCCGAGCCAAAAGGGTTCCAAATCGGCGCAAGCCAAACTTCCTTTTTCTATTCTTGTTTATTTAAATGTATTAAAATATTAAGGCGGGGAGAGATCTACGGGGAGTCGTGACTATAGCAGGTGGACCCCATGACAGCTCGATCTGACAAATCACGTTCCTTCTTTTCTTTTTATTAATTTTTTTAACATTCGCCGCGATTATTATTATTATTATGTGCACGAAATTAGTAAAAAAAAGGAGCGAATACATGTAAGAGTGACACGTCAATTATTAAAAAGGGTCCCACATGAAAAAAACAGCTTCTCTTCGGTTATAACTCGTACGGGAAGCCAACGAATGGGGGGACCCGACAGACAAAAGGCCCCAGTGCTCTATGCGACAAAAGTTGGAAGTAAACTGTGCACATGCGTTACAGTGTTTTCCTTGGCTCCATGAAAGTACTATTTTGCCCTCCTCGAGCCTTTTCTGGCTTTATATTTGTTTACTTTTTATTCTTCGCAGTCAAATTTTTGTTTTTTTAAATGACTAGTGCCCTTTTCTATTAAAAGTTGATGTGTGCATTTGCATCTCAAAGCATGCGACAAAGCAGAAGGATGAGATTAGCTATGAACAAAATAAGTAAATAAATAAATATATTTTTAAAAGTGTATTATTATTAAAAATGAATATGTCCTTAAAATTGTTTCAAATTATCCAAATTGTAAATCAAGGCCAACAAAATAGAATAAATGAAGAGAAAAATGCAATGACCCAAATATTCCATCTATGTAAACACCCAGCCAACAACCCAAACTAAACCCCAACCTCATTCCAAGCACACAAACAAATAACCATAAGTGAAAGTAACATATTGAACCAATCCAAATTGGCCAAATGTCAATACCCCAATCACTAGGTGTCAACACTAATTAGAGAGCAAACGGGTTAGGTTTTATTGCAGAGCTACATATGTTAAGAGGACAATATTAGCTCTAAATATACGATACCCAATTGTTGGGTGTAGGCCAACACTGCCTGCTGCCACCAAAAACCGTTGGCGGAATAGGAAGGGCATGTAATTTAATTTTTAGGGTTGTAACGTTGTCCACATTAATTGGAGAGGACATGTATTTGTACCACATATAAAGGGCACTTCTCATAATTGATAAGCCAACAATCATCTTTGACACCATAAATGCCCCAGCATGTTATTAAAATTTACTGCTTTTGACTTTATACCATCTACCTACAAGCCTTGTCCTTCCTAAACCAAGTGGCCTAAGTTATTAAATTCACCCAGATTCCTACAACCTGGTTCCTATCCAAAACTAAAGTCCAACTCCTTGTCCTTGGAGATCATTCCTTGAGGAAAGCTCTTGAGCTTTCACCAAAATGTGTACGTCAATTGAGTCCTTAAAACCCACTAATCGAAATGTCTAGCTACCATTTCTCTCTTTCGTCTTGTTTAGTTCTCCATGGATCGGAAGACAGAAATCATGTCTGCAATTTTACCAGTATGTCTGAACTTTGTTACGTATATGGTTGTCTTGAGCTTCATTGGACTTCATTGGTTGTCTTCTCAAATCATTGGAGTTGCTGTTCATGCATTAACTTTTTTAATCTACAGATAGTCCACTATTGGCCGCAACAATGGCAACGGTTGCAGTGAAGCCCATACACCTTTTTTCAGGCAGGAATCTTCCAACTCCTCCGTTAGGTTGCCAAAAGGAGAGGGGAATGGTAAAATGTAATAATTATGTGCAAAAGAGGATTATCCCTCAACTGAATTTCCCCTTTTGCCTTTTTTATCCTAAGATTTCAATAGAAGATTTTTCAAAATGAATTTCAAATTTTAAGTTTAATATTTCCTTAAACTTTCTTATTTAATTCTAATTAATTACCTTTGCCATGTGTCCTGCGATATATGGAAGTTAAAGCAATGGAGTTTCTTTTATGAGAACTTTGAGAGAATCACGAATTATTATTATTATTGTGAAATTGAG